ACCCCCACCCCCCACCCCCCCGGCCTGGCAAATATTCTCCTATATATAGAGACTAAATGTACAGTGTATCAAAATTTAAATATGGCCGTTTGAGGAAAAACAAGGTTGCCTCTAATTCTTTTTCAATACTTTGTGGGACCTAACCAACCTTCTCTTCATTCTATGAACAACAAGTTGAACATAGATTAAAAAAGAAATATTTCATTTGTGGATTTTACGTTCTAAAGGCAAATGATTGATCTAGAAAAATACTTGAAATTTATGTTTTGAATTCAGTAGAGTTGTATCCACAATGAATCCTTTGCGATTGTTTAGGCCACACCAATTTAATCTATTGGTTCTTGGATTCGCCTCGAAAAAAAGAAATTCTGGTTCTGAATCAGCTCAAAAATGTTTATATTTTGCCCCCAGCCATTGAGGAAAGTCCTTTTTCTTCCTAGTTGTTACAGTTTTTCCATCTATCAATGCAGTGGTTTGATTAAAAGTTCAAAATTCATAGTAATATAAATAGTAATAAATATTAACCCAGCCGATGTGTTGACTTCATGGCTCCTATCGTTGCATTTGGGGCTATTAAATTGGTGTGGCCTTAGTTCTATATAAATTGCTCTGAACGCTGGCATAGCGGTGGATGAACAACTACATTTTACTTGTCCAGTCTCCAAAAACACATTGTTCTTGTATCAGTACTTTTCTGCTGACTGTACAAGTACTGTACAGTATCTTGAGAGTAGAAGACACTAGTCTGAATACTTGAGGCACAGAAGAGTTTCCGTCTGTTTACTTCAGGACAGTCTCACAGTCCCTTGACAGCCCATCCTCCCTTTGATGGTCTGTCATTTACATCTCAACGACTGTGTGTTTTCACGTATTGATCGTAGGTTGGAGAAGAAACAAGAAAACAGAATTCTGTACTCTCCAAGCAGAGGTTGTTGGAAAAGATTGTTACCGTGGCCGACAAGAACAAAATTTTACACCGAAACTTTTGGTGTTTTACACCGCAACTTTTGGTGTTTTACACTGCAACTTTTGGTGTTTTACACTGCAACTTTTGGTGTTTTACACTGCAACTTTTGCTGTGTTTTACACTGCAACTTTTGCTGTGTTTTACACTGCAACTTTTGGTGTTTTACACTGCAACTTTTGCTGTGTTTTACACTGCAACTTTTGCTGTGTTTTACACTGCAACTTTTGCTGTGTGGAAAACTTACACCCCTCCCCTTTTATAATGGACGGTCCCCCTGTCAGGTCAAAGGTGACAACGATGGCATGCAAACTACGTCGACTGAGTTATCCTTTTCGTGCATAAGTTTTTTAGAGGAAAAGCTTGGCTACGTTGTGACGTTAGTTTTTTTCTAAAGGTTTTTCTAGCTTTGGCCTATAGATCGGGATAAATTTAAAAATGTTTCGACCAGGTCCAGTGATTACAAATTATGTTGCTATCTAGTGAATGTTGGTAACGTTTGCACCGCTACGTGTTGATGTCGACGCATGGTATGATAGAAATGATGTCTGTCTGAAGGCGTAAATATGTAATTAGCTTAAACTATCGTGGCATGATGTCATAAACGCTTGCATGCGGCGATAGTCGTCTTCCACGTTTCCCCGCCTTTGAGTCACGTGACATTTTCTAGCTAGAGAATTCGGACTCGCAAGGTCGCTAATAATTTGATGAGTAAATATTGGGCCTATGGGAGTCAAATGTGGCACCACTTGGTACTATGAAGCAATAAAGACTTATTTTCAATTATGAAGTGTTGACTCTTGACTCAGGTAAGTTATCGATCATTAGGGAACAATACGAGCGGTCGCCATGACGTCACCGTAGGCAAAAAGTGGGTGCCAGTTGGCTGATTTGCCTACCAAGAATTTGCATATGTCTTCAAATAATTTGCATGCGTATAATGTAAACAAAAACAGCGATCGCTCGTTTACAAATGTAGACACTGTGACTCTCAGGTCGCCGCCATCTTTGTCACCTTTGACCTGACAGGGGGACCGTCCATTATAAAAGGGGAGGGGTGTAAGTTTTCCACACAGCAAAAGTTGCAGTATAAAACACAGCAAAAGTTGCAGTGTAAAACACCAAAAGTTGCAGTGTAAAACACCAAAAGTTGCAGTGTAAAACACAGCAAAAGTTGCAGTGTAAAACACAGCAAAAGTTGCAGTGTAAAACACAGCAAAAGTTGCAGTGTAAAACACCCAAAGTTGCAGTGTAAAACACCAAAAGTTGCAGTGTAAAACACCAAAAGTTGCGGTGTAAAACATCAAAAGTTGTGGTGTAAAATTTTGTACTTGTCGGCCACGGTAGATTGTCACCTTTTTGTTATATGTTCCTTTTTTTTTGTCACCATTCTCCACCGACAGAAAATTTAAACGGGGCTTATGTCAGAAAGGTCCCAATCTTCCCCACCAACCTCTGCTTGAAGGAAGAAACAGAAAAACAGAATTCGTACTCTCCAAGCAGAGATTTTGGAGAAGATTGTGCTACCTTTCTATCATATGCCCCCTTTTCTGTCGCCACTCTTCACAAAAAATTGGGCATATGCTAGAAAGGTCACAAACTTCCCCACCAACTTCTGCTTGGAAGAAGAAATAGAAAATAAAATTCGTACTCTCCAAGCAGATATTGGTGGAGAAGATTGTGTTACCTTTCTATCATATGCCCCTTTTTCTGCCGCCACTCTTCACAAAAAAAAAAAAACGGGGCATATGCTAGAAAGGTCACAATCTTTTCCACCAAACCTCTAAGTAGAGAGTACAGAATTCGGACATTTTCTCATTGTATTTATGCAGTCAGGAACTGCTATTAAATGGACATTTTGGTACAGAAAATGAGAAACAAGTCCTCACGACTAAAGTCTTCAGACAGGGCATTTCCTAGTCGTATTAACAGACGGCAATTTCAATTTTACATTTGTCGTATAGAGTAGCGTAAAAGCACAAATCGGCTTGGACCGTAAAAAGTTCTTTAGAACCTGAAGTAATGTTGTTGTAAGATAAAGGAGGAAGGCGAGAAGAACGTGTGAAAAAGCTCCTACGATCCGTGGAGGTGAAAGACAAGGTCGGATAATCTCCTGCCCCGCTCATGTGTTGCAGTGAAAAGCTGAGTAGTAAAGGAGCTTGGTGTGTTCCTTCGTGTGCTTATCCCACCTCGCGCAAAACAGGCACGTTCGGGAATAGTAGACCATGCTTTGGAAAGAAACGGAGGCTTGGTGTCCCTTTCCGAAGTTTCAGTAGCTTCTAACTCTTTTGGACTCGTTTCTAGTACTAAATTTTCTTTCAAAGCGACTGAGGACTTGCTAGGATGCTGTACTGTGCCATATCATGTCCATGGGAATACGTTGTGATCGAAAGACTGTGGAAACTTGTCTTGACATGAGACCTTTTGTAGCAAAATATGCGAATGAATTTTGAGCAAGAAACGAAAATTTTAGGAGTGCGGTCAAAATTCGTTTGGCGTAAAGCGACACATGTTCTTTTGACAAAATAGGTAGCACGTAAAAACAAAGATACAAAAACAAGACAACAATATACTTCTTTAGCACGTAGATGCCATAAAGTTAAAAATGACGCAGTGCGTTCGTCGATCTTGTATCTTGAATACACTGACAATTTGCCCGAACATTTTTGCACACTCACACATCTACGCATCTCCACATATTCATTTTCTTCTCTCCAACACTCATATGCTCTTAAAAATGAAGCCGATAACTTACCTGACAAAACGAACACCAGTAACGTAGCAATCCAAGCACACTTCATGTTGCTTTGTACACCTTGTGGTAAGATACGTTGTCCTGAAATTTGTCAACGTCAGTTTTTGTGGCAGAAGACAGACTCACAGAAAAATTCGGAGTGATCCTAGCGCCACGACAGCCTCTTCACAACTAGATGCATCTCCCCAAGTGGCCCTAATGATAGCCGAGTGCTGACGTCACAGGAAATCACTGATTCAGCTCATTTGCATACGGGCTTCGTTTCGTGACTCACAAATTAGATCAATCTGCACTTGACCAATGGCAACGCGTTTAAGACTAACGCTAGAATATCGCGTCTGAGATTTCCCTTATATTACTATATGGAGCAAAATTGTCGAACACAAAGAGTTGTTTATATTCATAGCTTTATTTAAACCTATTAGCTTTAAGTGGATTAGTAAAACTGACAAAAGGACTAAGTGTAACCCTAGCGCTGGTTAGGTAAAACAACAATAGTTACTATTCCTAGCACGGATTAAAAATACCCGAAGTCAACATGTACACAAACTACATAATATTTTGCATTTTGGGACAAAAAAACAACGGGCTTGAACGAGCCTAGATCGTCTGAAGAAGGCTAAAACGACGTCGTTTTTAGCTCCAGCGTGCACGTACCTATATTAGGTTTCCACTCGAATTTTCACGGTTCTTTCCCACTCGTTGATAAGCTTGTTTCTGTAGCCAGTGGACTGTTACTTTCCCAACAGACTGGCCCGGGACAAGCCGCCTCGAGGACAATCCAGAATTACGATGTGTTGACTTTACCTCCGGAGAGAGCAGGAGCGAGCTTATTGTTTTCGTTGCCATGACAACGGGGAAGTGTAAAGTCTAGGCTTGACAACACGATTCGGAGAAAGTGGATCATCGTTGATTATGGTAAAAAAAAGTAGTGATGGTTGATGTATGCTAGCACGCTATGAATAAAAGGGTAAGTTGACGATTATGGGGAGGGAAACAATTTGTGATCGTACCGTTTTTGGATTATTGTTTATTTGACAAATCTCCAAATCCTGACAAATCTTCGAATTCTGTATCTAACAGAATAATGACCTCTGACCTCTCCACTGTACTGTAAGTGTGTAATTTAAGCTAGCTTTAATTGTTGTGCATATAAGCAAGTAGGCCTACGTGTAGATTGTTATTGTTATACTGCTATTTAAGCTGATGTTGCTGTATATAATTGTAGCTATTAAGTTTGTAATTGATTATACTTCATCTTTTAAATGTAAAGGACTCCAGGAAGACTAGTAAACAAACATTGTATTACTAATGGAGATTCCTAATAAACATAAACATAAACATAAGTTTAGATTAAAGCAAGAATTTCCCGCTGACGGATTTTGCCGACATTGAAATTGTTCGTTTGCTCGAGAGTTTATATTGAATCAAACCATCTCTGTGGGCAATGATTTCAACACTACGGTGTGCAAATATACCGGTCTTGAACAATATATTTTCGTGACATGTGACATTCATCTATTTATAGATCGATCGAGCCATACGTTGACTAATCAAACAAGGAACCAACCAACCAACCAATGAATGAATGAATGAATCAATCAATCAATCAATCAATCAATCAATCAATCAATCGATCAATCGATCGATCGATCAAATTAACCAATCAACCAATCAATCAATCAGTCAGTCAGTCACCCAATCGATCAAATTAACCAATCAACCAATCAATCAGTCAATCAATCAATCAATTAATCAATCAAATTATCCAATCAAGCAATCAAGCAAGCAATCAATCAACCAACTAACCAATCAATCAATCAATCAATCTATCAATCTATCAATCTATCAATCTATCAATCTATCAATCTATCAATCTATCAATCTATCAATCTATCAATCCATCAATCTATCAATCTATCTGCATTTATACTTAGATCTCCAAGTTCGAATCTGTTTAAAACAACTTGTTTGATCCCCCCCCCCCCATGTTGTTGTAATGTCAGGTATGGAATGTCAAACTTTTTACCCCGGGATCCTGGGACAAAGACCACGAAAAACACACCCCTTTACACCCCAGCAGTCAGGTTCGTTCGTTTATTCGTTTATTTCGATACCCTTTCGTCCATGACTAGTCTTTCAGGGTTCAAAACATAAACATATGCACATACTGACAACAAAATAAAAGAGAATGAACATACATAATCATCACAAATTACATACAGGTTATAAACAAAACGATCATGATTTAACTTAATATATATACAACTTAACTTATGTACAACTGGTGGATGGCCTTTTTGAATTGATGCGGACTGGTCAGTGTTTTGATACTGGGTGGCAGGGTGTTCCATAGATTAATGGCGCGGTAGAGAAATGTTCGCTTTTGCTGTTTGTTTTTGGTTTAGGTAGTTTGAAACTGCAAGAATTAGCAAATCTAGTTGAATACCTGTGGGTAAAATGGACGGGAACAATGGCGCTGTAGATGTTTTGGGGTTCATGACTGTTAAGAATTCTAAAAAACATATTTAAAGTACTGGTGGCAAACCTCTGTCTGACCGTCAGCCAACCCAGATCTGAGTGCATTTGCTTGACAGGTGTGTCTAGTGAGCATTTCAAAGGCCGTGTTCATGTGAGGTCAGTGAAGGCGCTTTACATGTGGTTTACCCCGAAGACGGTTTCAAGTGGCTCCATCTGAACGCTCCAAATCACATTGAAAGCGCCTCGATCCCAAGCCACTTCTAGAGGTGGTTTCGAATCGGTTTTCCCGCATCGCGATTTGCGTCTGAACGCAATGTGATTTCAATGTGACTTCACTAGGTCATGGATTACGGGGTGATATTTCTTTATTTATATGCAATACTAAGTTTTACGTGGCAGCATCTTAAAGAGCAGTAATGGTCAAATAATCTGTCCGTTCTAGGGCGAGCTTCACCGCCTCTGGCGGGACCACGTCGGCATTCGGCCGAGATACGCTGGGAGGGGGGCATCAGCAAGCAGGTCGTTGACCTCTGACATTAATAAAACGCTACCTTGCGTGTGTCTTCATCAAACAACAATAAATGTAGCTCAGGCGAATTGTGATCGGACACGGTTTCAAAGGAATGTGTGGCACGTGGACCAGATTTGAGGAATGCGAGTTACCCGAATCGCGGTTTGTGTGACTTCACATGAACAAGGCTAAAATCAATTTGCATGCCCTAAACCATGTGCAGAAACAATCTGCATGCCCTAAACCATGTGCAGAAACAATCTGCATTCCCTACTTAACCAGGTGCAGAAACTCAACCCAACATGGTGGCAGCCGCAGGTCTGGTTTAGTCCTCTGTTTCAAACAGTCTACTGCATCGCTGAAGGTACGTGCAATACCTATCTTTAATCACCTGAAACAGTAAGCCTTTAAAAGCGTTTTAACGATTAAATAAAGGTGTTGTGAATAATAGTGAAGCGCTGCATGCCTATTGCCCACTGCTCTTCCTCTGCATTCCATTCTCCCTAGTACCCCCCCTCCCACACACTATACAATAAATTTTGACCTGAAAGTCCCAAATTATACAATTTTAAAGGTGTGTTCGGCTAGTTAAGTTCTTTTTTTCAAATTGTGTCCATGGTATAGATTCTTTAAGCTCGGCTAATCAGGAGAATATTTGTTTTGATGACAGAGAAACTGATAAAGTCTGTATAAAGCAAACTCTGCCGTCCGCGACTTTACTGGCCCCTCCCCTTTTCGGGGGCCGGCTGGATGTTGGGCGGCCGGCAACCGTAAAGCGATTTAATCAGGCTAGCCGTCGTATATTTGTACTCCAATTGTGTTCAACCAACCTTAGTTTTGACCCAACGACCCGATGACAAATGAACCATGGTTGAACAGCGAGAAAATTCTACATGTGATAAGAAGCTGAGAAGTGTCAGCTGTGTCTGCATTTTTTCTTTGCCTTAGGCCATGTGGATTTGATTATATGGATGACATCCGCGCGCGCATGAATTTTCGGCCGTTTCCAAAAAAAAAAAGTTTTCAACCATACTGTAAATCGTATAAAATAGTTGCAAAATGAGCAAAAATATACCATTAGTTACAAAAAAAATTAATAAAAACTATACCAATGTCGTAGAATGCCAAAATCAAACCAAAAAAAGACGAAAATGTAAAGAAATGAATTTGAAGACTAGATTATTCGCCAAACCATACTCTGTGTCATCTGTTCAACCTTCAAAACCACGTAGATTTCATAATGAAAACAACTTTTTTTTTGCAAAACTTTTTTTTATTCGCACGCGCGCATCAGTTTTTGGGGGTTTTTCCGTAGAGGGATGTCATCCATATAATCAAATCAACATGGCCTTACCAAAAAAAACAATGTCACATACCCCTTTTCCTTACCAGACCACCTAAAACCCTACCATAGATTGCAAAAT